TGAATTAGAAAGGAAAATATAAAATGAAAATAGTGACTACAAACCAAGAAAAGAGTCAAGAAGAGGCATTTCACAGGTTGTTAAGTGGCTGGAACACACATGAGAAGAGTAAATGACTAAGGACTTGGGTAGGGGCTACTATTAACACATGGCATTGTGCTTGCCATGACATTTGGTAAGATCCCAAGCCTTGGGTGAACCACCCTGCCCCCTCCTCACTCTGCTCTCACAGTCCCTGGTCACACAGCCCCATTACCAAGTGGATCCAGTACGTACATACCCTGCTCATGCCTGTGTAGCAGCCGTCAGTGCCCCGCTGCCCTCAGAAATATGTAAATAATCACACAGGTCCTCCAGCAGCACCCAAGGAATACCTCGTCCTCTCTTGATGCTACAGTCTTCCCCACACTGCCCCTGGTTTTTCACAGTGTTCCCAAGGGCCAGCCCACCCCTGGGGCTCGGGGTGGCGTGCTGGGCCTCCTCCACGGTCTCTGAGTGTACATGTATGTGACTTAACACCCTAGTTTTGATCTCACCATTCTGATGTTCAGTGTCCTGAGTTAGTCCATCCCATGGCCCCAGGGTGGAATCACTTCCTCACCAACAGGCTGAGTAAAAGATGAAGGAAACAACAATATTTAAAAGTACCATAAGTATTGTTTATAAATTAACCATTTTGGTAAATCCTGGAAAAGTGGGACCATAGGGTTAGTAAGGCAGTAAGAAATGATAATCTCCAACTCCAGGTACTGGCTTCCACCACTGGCTTTGCCAGTTCTCCAGCTTGCAGAGCCAGCAGATCCTGGGACTTCTTGGTCTCTCCACAGTCAGAAGAGCCAATTCCTATAATAAATCCGTCCTTTGTATCTAGTTATCATCTATCTATATCTTATGGTTTCTGTTTCTGGAAAACCCTGACTATACACAAGGCTTGAGAAACTGTGACAAAATAAAATGCATGCACTGCTTAACGCAGATTTAAACATTTTAAAATGTGATGACAGATAGAACAAATTTGTTTGCAGCATCTGTCAGGTGTTAGTTTACAAACCATATATTGTTTTAGGTTTCTGCTTTACTCTTTAAAATAGCAATTCTGCCTAACAATTGCATCAAAGGAATGTAATACTGACTATGTTTGGGAAACAATTTGTATTGTTTTGTGGGCTTTTCTAATGAATAGGAAATTTCTAAACAGTTTTAGGCTTGTAGAAACATGGAGCAGAAGGCACAGAGTTAGACTATACCCTTCCCATTGTGCTCTCCCCAGTCTCCCCTGTACTTAACATCTTGTATTAATATCTTACAGTTTTTATAATGAGTGAGCCAACATGGATACCTCATTTTCAAGTCCAGAGTTCACATTAAGGTTAACTCTATTGTACATTCTGTGTGTTTTGACAAATGTGGAATGACAGGTGTGCCCCATTATAGCATCCTGCTGAATGATTTAACTGCCCTCAACCCGCCATGTTCCACCTATTCACCCCATTCCCCCTCCCTTCAATGTCTGTCAACCACTGATCTTCTCAATGTATCCATAGTTTTGACTTTTTCAGAATGTCATATGGTTGGAATCATACCAAATGTAGTCTTTCTAGGCTCATTTCTTTCACCTGGTGATATGTATGTAAGGTTTCTTCATGTCTTTTTGTGGCTTGATAGCTCATTTTATCAATGAATAATGTTCTATCATATGAATATACTGCAGATGTTTATCCATTCATTTATTGAGAAGCATCTGGGTTGCTTCCAAATTTTGGAAAAAAACTTATATAAATTTTCATGTGCAGGTTTTTACGTGAATGTAAGTTTTTCATTCCTTTGGGTAAATACCAGTGCCTGTGTTTATTGCATCATATGGTAAGAGTGTGATAAAATTTATAAGATAAATCTATAGTCTTTCTTAATAAGCATACCATTTTGGATTTCTTCCAGCGATAAATGAGAGTTTCTATTACTATGTGCCATTGCCATCATTTGTTGTCATCAGTGTTTTGGATTTTAGCCATCGTCGTAATAGGTACAGGCAGGAATTTCGATACTGGTCTAATTTGCACTTCCCTTACACAGTGATTTTCAACTGGTGTGCTGCAAAAATTTTTAAAACATGCCATACCCAACTATTGAGTCAGGGGTACTGACCTCTTTTCCCTTAAATTGTCAAATAAAAAAAACGACAACAGCCAACACAACAAGAGGCATAAGGCGTAAATGAATCAAAATTATGTATATTTTTTGTCACATTGGCAAAAATTATATTTTTGTTACCTCAGCAAAAAAGTATATTTTTTGGTGTGCTGCAGAATTTTGGTAATTAGTTTATGTGTGTACCATGAGATGAAAACAGTTGAAAATCGCTGCCCTAGTGACATAAACTGATTTTTAAAAATTTGGTTCTGCTCCCTTTGTTGTTCTTGCAGGGAGAATTGGTCTTACAGAAGATTTATTTTCAGAAGAAGTCTGTCTCTAATAGTTAAGAATATTCTTGCCAATTTTTTGGAGCTGCAATTAGGTTCCTCAATATTTCTAAAAGATCTATTTTACTAGACAGATATGTTTTAACATTAACTTTTTGAATCACATAGACTAAGTTAAATTTATTTTGGATCTTCCAGGACTTTCTGCTAACTTTCTTTTCAGACAAACATTGGAAATAATAAGCTATGTTACATTTGTTAACCTCATTGTTAAATTTGTATTAAATTACAGTAATATTGTAAGTTTTTTTAATTGACAACTTAAGAAAGTAGTTTTCTGTCTTAGCTGATGAGGAGACCTTTCTAAAAGAAATGCATATCAAGTTGGGTGAAATTTTCACAATTTCAAATTTAGATACATATATTATTTTGTTTTTTTAGGTTTACGTAAATACTAATTACTATAGGAAAATCCGTGTCACCGAACTTGAGAGAGGATTTTAAAAGTGTCAAATTCTAGTTCTTCTTTTAGATCATAGTCAAATTCCATTGTTTCTTCTATCTCAAGTTTTTATATATAATATTCTTTTTTTGTTAGAATAACATTTGTAAGGCATTTTCATACAAATATATAGGTGGCTATTGTCTGCATTTTTACATGTCTAAAATATCTTTTAATAAATAATAAGGATAAAACAGGTTCCTAAATAATTTCCTCTTAGTTTTAAAAGCATCATCCCACTGTTTCTAAAAGTTATTTTAACTTCTTTTTAATCCTTGGAGTTCTGAAATTATGATAATTCACCTTTCTCACCATGGTTCCTGCCGCCCAATTCCTTTCATACTCTTACTTCTCTCATATGAGATACATATATTATTGAGGATATTACTATATAAGTGAGAGGTAATAGGAATGATATATATTATTTTTAGCAGCCTGATCTTACTTTGATATTTATCCAAAGTATTATATGCAAAACTATGCATAAATTCAGAGTTTGAATTCACAGAAAAAAACAATTGTGAAACACATAGTAAAATTAGCAGCAGAGAGGGAACATTCTAAGTCTAGAGACATATATGTTCTAATTCACTTGTATGGAAAATCATATCAGGTGCCTAGTCCACAGTCTGATCTTCCCTCTTAACTCAGCTGCCCAATTATCTTCATTCCATGAAAACACCACCTTTTTCAGCCTCATTTTCAGAGAGTTGTAGACATGTTACTAAATTTCAGACAGTGATAGAAGTATGAACATAGACATACTACTTCCTTCCTCTGTTGGAACTCCAGCTGGCACACTGAACCATGAAAGCAAGACCTGTGTCTTAAAAATGGTGGCAAACAGAAGAGAGATTCAGGGAACCGAAAACAGCATGAAGTTGCCCTGCCAGACCTCGACTGACGATATCTAAGTTGTATGTGTCAGAGAAACAAATTGTGTTCTTTTTAATTTAATATTCCAGCTATTTGGATGTTTTCTGTTATGTGCTCCTGGAAAACCTGACCAGTACTTCTAAAGGCATTTGAATAATCCACATGTATAATGTTTATATCCATTAAGTTGGAGGTAGAAGTATCTCCTTTGCCTAAGTTATATCAGTGTGTAAAGAAAATGAATGAATGAATGAGTAAATACTACATTATAAACAGAACAGAAAGCACAGTTTATAAGAGGATCCTTGTGCAGTTGGCATTTGCCACAGTTGCTCTGGACAAGACAGGTGGTTATAGAGGAGTCAAATCGCTCCTGTACAATCTATGCTGATGATGCTGAATTTGGTCCCTGACAACTGGAAACATGTCTTTGCAATTTATTGTATTGTTTTCTATTATCTATAGTTAGTATAGTGCCCTTTTAATTAAATAATCCAAGAAGAAATATTAAATGAGAGTCTGGAGAAAATAATATATAAAGGTGAGCATATGTTTATTTACTGAGATTCACCTACATAGAAATATTATAAAATATGCATACAACTTTTACATGTAATTGTAGTGGCATTTTAGAAAGATGGTCAAGATACATACTTCTGGAGTAGAGATAGGACTTTTATCAATGTAATTTGATTTCTTCTTTTTTAAAAAAGATTTTATTTATTTATTTTTAGAGAGAGGGGAAGGGCAGGAGAAAGAGAGGGAGAGAAACATCAGTGTGTGGTTGCCTCTCATACGCCCCCTACTGGGAATCTGACCTGCCACCTAGGCCTGTGCCCTGACTAGGATGGAACTGCCAACTCCTTGGTTTGCAGTCCGGTTGGTGCTCCATCCACTGAGCCACAGCAGCCAGGGGCTGATTTCTTCTTAAATATGTGAGATATTTGGAGCAATATGACTGGAGAAGATGGTATGGACCTTTTTAGAGAAATACCTTTGATATTTGATCTTGCAAAGAAAAATAGCATTTTTAATGGGGGTGATAGTTGATTTCTAATAAAAACAAAAAAAATAATGCTTAGGTTTTTCAGATTAGAAATAGTATCAGGTCTGACTTGAAACTAACATACCCCTTAAAATAAAATTATGCTCTCTGAATGCTGAACAGTTTTTCAATTACAAGTACACTAAAGAGGATGACCTTGAATCCACTGATAGACCTTGAACAACCTAACATTGTTCTTTTGGTTTGCACTAGGATGGGAAAGAAAAAAATCCCTGCACTTTCTGTCTGTCTGTCTTTGTGGCAGCCCAGATTGAATAGGGGACTACACCTGTGGCCTAGGGAAAAATAAATAAATAAAGAGGATTACCAGTGTATTGTGTAAGCTCTGTTTTATAAAAGCATTTGAAATGTCACCAGTGTTATACATCAAGCATATTCTTTTTTTTTAGATTTTATTTTTATTTTTATTTAGAGAGAGAGGAAGGAAAGGAGAGAAACATCAATGTGTGGTTATTTCTCATGTGCCCCCCAAGTAGGGACTTGGCCTGCAACCCAGGCATGTGCCCTGACTGGGAATTGAACCAGCAACACTTTGGTTTGCAGCCCGCGCTCAGTCCACTGAGCTACACCAGCCAGGGCTCAAGCATATTCTTTTCATGAAGACTTCAAGATACATGTGCATCCACTGTTTCTCAGAAGTGTATGGGGTATTTCTAAGTGACTTAACATTGGGACTTTACTATGGCTTTACTATGTGTTTTTCACACATATCTGACTCAACTGTTTTTCCTGGAGAGATTGAAGGAGATGAAACTCAAAAGTAGATATCAGAATTGGTGAAAAAACAAAGATACAGCCATAGAAGATAATGAAAACTGAACGTACCTGCGTCTGTATTTAAGCCCCTCCAGGTGAGCCTGTGGCACAGAAGGAATTTGTGCTTGCTAGTATTCAAGAAACATGCTTACCTGCTGAGAAAAGCCCAAAGATACCATTATACGTCTCCACCTCCTACTAATGTGTCTACAGAAATGTGGCTTATAAAGGGCAAAGAGACTTAAACTGCTTTATGAGCAGTGGCTTGAATTTTAATAGCATCATTAGGCCATGGTGTGTGACTTATTGTCACTCTGAAATGTGCTTTATAAAAAAAATCAAAAGCTAATAAAAGAGTTAGGAGATAACTTCATCCATTAGAAGGTCAGATGTAAGAGTATAGCAAATTGACTGGTTAATTGTTCTCATTAAGCACATAGGTTATCTTAAATTTGTATTATTAATATGACCTTCAGAGGAAGAATGTCCTGAGCATCTTAACAACAACCCACATTTTTTTCATTGTTTCAGTCTTTTACATTATCATGTGAAGAAACCAGGAAGACTGTGTGTTTTATGTTTCATTTAATTGTTTAGGATAAAGTGATAGCAAGTGCTCTGTTTAAAACACAGGCCAAAGAAAGTTCTTTATATATTTTGGAGATCAAACCCTTGTCCAAGGTATCATTTGCAAATATATTTTTCCATATGGTTGGTTCCCCTTTCATTTTGCTGATGTTTTCTTTAGCCATGCAGAAGCTTTTTATTTGATGAGGTCCCATTAGTTTATTCTTTCCTTTATGTCCCTTGCTCTTGGGGACATATCACTGAAAATATTGCTGCATGGAATATCTGGGATTTTCCTCCGTATGTTCTATTCTAGAACTTTTATAGTGTTGTGCCCGATATTTAAATCTTTTATCTATCTTGAGTTTATTTTTGTATATGGTACAAAGTAGGTAAATGACTAAGAAACAATAGACTTTTAAATGCACCCATAAAATTCGTTTTTGAATATTTTTATACATTTTAAATTTATTTAAATACATTTATATATTTTATATTTTAAAACTAAACTTTATTTTGAGATTTTTTTTTTGTGTAGTAGAATACCAATTAAAAAATACCCCTATAGACACAGATAATTATACGGTGATTAGAAGAGGGGAAGGGGGCTGGGGCAGGTGGAAGATGGGAGAGTGGAGAAACTTGACTTGGGGTGGAGAATATGCAACACAATAAACAGATGATATATTAAAAAAAAGAAAATGCATGCCAAAGTAATGTTTACCTAGCTGAGGACTTAAGTAAAGCACATAAAATGTTTAGGAATTGTAGGATTTAGAAGCAAGGATGCATAGTCATTAATAGTTAATGGTGATAAGAAATTAACATAAGATTGCTCTTCTTTTTTTATAGTTGTAAATTTTTTAATTAATTTTATTTAGTTATTTTTCAAGTACAGTTTTTTGTCTATTTTTCCCATCCCAGCCTCCCCCGCCCCTTGCTCCCCACCTCCCTCCCATTTCCACCCCCCTTAGTTCTCGTCCCTGTGTCCTTCCTATTTGTTCCTCCAAATCCCTCCCCCTTTTTCCCCTTAGCTAAACAACAAAACAAACAAGCAAGCAGAAAAAAAAAACAAAGACACTGAAATAGAAGGAAGGGAAGTTAAGATTGCTCTTCTTTAATGGAAGAAAAGAATCATAAGCAAACGGACACAAAATTCTCTGCATATGTTTAATAGAGTCAAAGCACTAGGCTTCCATATACATTGCTAATAAGATGTATTTGGTAAGCGCTGTAGCAAAAGCGAGGTTTTGGTTTTTTCTTTTTCCTTTATTTTTTTGACAATGTGTAACAAGGGCTTCAAGGAGAAGTAAGAAATGGCTTTTTGAATGATGGATGCTGGATCTAAATTAAATCTGTGGGAAAAACGGCTCCCTTTTCTGAACTGGTGCAAAGGTGACAGGGCCTCGTGCTGGCACCAGGGTTTTCTTGCGTCTTGGGGAGCCCACCTCCTATTTTCACAGAACAGGTGGGTCAGGTGCTCTTGGTGACAATGGCTGTGGGTTCTATTAAGCTAGCTCATCGGACTTGAGCGAGTACTGGCTAACCTACAGTGCCTGGGTTAATTGTTCAGACCAGTTTGGAAATATCACAGATGATACTAGAAAGGAATAAAAATGCCTTCTCAAAACTCTCGTTAGTAAAAACTAGACATTGAATTATACGCTTCTTGTAGGTCCTTTGTTGTCTCGTGGTGCAGGCGGACATACTCAAATGCGTTCAGGGGAAAGAATGGGATCAGGTTTAAAAAAAAGTCTGGACATATTCAGGTTTCACATACATAAGCAACAAGAAGGTGTGAAACATAAGAGTGTTCAAATGTGTTTTAGGAAAGGTGTTAAAATATATGTTAAGGAATACAGATAAAGGTATTCCAAAGACATAAGCGACGTTTTAGGCCTGAGATGTAAAACTGTAAAAGTTTGACCATTACAAGTAATGATGAAATTAAAATTTAATGAATATTCTTCAATACTGAAGATGATTTTATATAAAATATAAAAATGTATGTTAGGATGTCTAGTTATTTCTTACATTTTCTTCAAAGCACCTTCTATATATAAAAAAACCTCTGTAACTTTAATGGAAAGTTACATAGTTTTCAATGGCCCAATTACAATATCAGTACTTTACTCAAATAGTCAAATAAATATATTTTTCTTTTTTATTTTTTATGCAATGATGTTGAAGTCATAAAGTTTTATTAGAAGAACACTGGGAAGTGAACTGGAAGGTCTGGGCATCAGTTAATGTTTCTGATAATGTAGACACAGGTCATCTCTGGTACTGCTTCTACATTTACAAAACAAAACAGTAAAGAGACTGAGATGCTGACCACATGCAATGTCCAAGACAGTCCACTACATTCCAGTATTAAATATAAATTTTAGTCAGTGTTATGAGGGAAGCCATGTTGGTTTCATTCTAAACGAGACAAAAGTTAGATTAAAGAAGTTATTATATGAAATGTTAAAGGGACTTACCTAAGAAAAAGAAGATAAAAAGTATGAACAGTGAAAGGACAGCAAACTCACAGTTATTAACAACCACACCTAAAACAAAAGCAAACTAAGAGGACAGCTAGATCAGGAGCAGAACCATAGAAATGAAGATCACATGGAGGGTTAGCAACAGGGGAGTGGGAGGAGGAGAAGGTGGGAGAAGGTACAGAGAATAAGTAACATAGACAATAGGTACAAAATAGACGGGGGGGGGGCAAGAATAGTATGGGAAATACAGAATCTAAAGAACTTGAGACACGTGGTCATAAACTAAAGGGGGGGATGGTGGGGGAGGGGCTATGCAGGGTGGAGGGGAATGAATGGGGGAGATAGAACAACTGTAATGGCATAATTAATAAAATATATTTAAAAAATAAAAGAAAAAATTAAATCAATAGCCAAAAAATTTGAAGATGAAACTTAACAATAAAAATGCTGCTAAAAATGAAGGCATTTTCAAATAATGCAAAAAAAAAAAGAAGTTACATAATGTGTATGTATGCTTCAGGTCTAACTTCAGTATCACTCCCAGTAGTACTTTTTATTCCAGTTAATATGAACTAACTCTTTCACATTTTTGTGTCTACAGAAGGGCTATATTAGACAAATTGTAGGATCTTTTCTAGCTCAAAATACCCAAATGTGAAAATATCTGGTTTTGCTCAATTGTAACTGCTGACTAAATATGATTACATTTATTAGTGAGTCTAGGATCCTTTTAACTCACCTAATGTAACATGTTAAATACAAAAGATATTTTGTGGTCATGGGAATGTTTAAATTGGACAAACACTTCAATGAGCATAGCTGTAAAATGACTATGAAGACCAGGGTGTGTGTAGTGAGGGGAGCAATCAGAACACTCAGACACTGATGATTTCCACATGTGTGATTTCCTACCCACCATCTCCATGTGTGTCAACGGGCAAGTGCGAGAATGTCCAAACCAGTACTATGTGAAATTTGTACAAAATGATATGCACAAAAATTTATTCAAGTTGAAATGTAGATCTAATTATAGAAGCATAACCAAGGAGCAACTCTAAACCACAGAGCAAAAGGAAATATTTTCAATACAAAATGAACAAAGTTCATACAGCCATCTGAAATAGAATGGATCAATAATTTAAACTATAATCACAGCAGAGGATGTTACAATTCAATTAAATGTAACAAATTTCAGCTACATGCGACAGCGACTATTAGTCTCAAAGTTTATGGTGGATACAAGAAGTTGTATCATGTACACAGAAATCTATACTCTATGATTCTACTTAAGGGAAATATCGGACTGTCTTGAAGTATAGTTTTAGAATAGCAGTTTGAGGATACAGTTACCCTAGAGGGCTAAGGAATGGATGTTGATGTAAAGTGAAAGAAAAAGGCTTCTTGGTTCCTGGCAATGTGTTATTTTTCTCTCAAATAGTGGTTAAACACATGTTCACT